TGACCACTGTAATCAGTGGTTGGAGACTCTAGATGATATGGCTCACAATCGATCACAGTGTTATAGGTTTATACCCTCTTTGTATACCCTTAAACCAAGTTGTTTTATACCTTTCTCTCCACGAACTAATTCTTTCTTCCTGAATCATATCCTTACATGTAATCTTTCTTTTATATATCACTACCATTGAAGTAACTACTTCTGATACGGTATTGATTACATAATGAATAAACATTGATAAGAATATAGTGAGTAGAGTTTAGTTGAAAGATTATTAATTTGAAAGGTAGTTGAAAAACTAAAATAAAGTCAATGATGTAATAAATACAAAAGAAAAAAATTTTTTTAGGGTGCAGCGAAAGAATATTTGTCACCAAGGCAAGGAAAGATTAACAAACGTCGCCTTTTGAATACATAGGTCAGGCTTTTGACGCCTGATAGCAACGGCTTCAGTAAACTTCAGAAGACTGGAGTTTGTCTGCTTACTAATCACCCTAAAGGATTTACCTGATGTCCTATATCAAGGAGATGTTTAGTGATTGCACTATTCAGAGTCTTTCTTTCCCTTGTTCTAAGACTTTTTGGAACATGTTCAAGAAATCTAAGATATGCTCTCCTTTCAGTTTGGCCGATGTAGCTGCTTTGGCAGATACAACTGTATTTATAAATACATCGTACATCGTACCATAAAATAGAAAACAACATTTGTACAAGATCTAACCAAAAGAGGCTGTGAATGTGGAAGATAGTAATTGATAGACTGGGTATAATTCAAGAATGTTAAATCGTATAATAATAGTCTATGGGTCAAAATAAAGCTTTTAATAAGAGGAACATGAATATGAATAGTTATACGTTTAATGTTAGTCCAGAAATAGATCCCAATAGTTACTATTCATTATTCTCATCGGGATATAACAGTACCCATCTGTATTCACTATATATAATTTATATTGATGGATCGTTTTTTTTCTTTCCTTATATTATCATTTTTAGAGTTTGTATAGTAATATCATAGTTGTTGGTGGTAACAGCTTAATCACTGGATTTACTGATAGATTACAACGAGATTTAAATATTAAAACACCACCGGTATGTTTGTATTTATTTATAGAATCATAATATTATTATTACATAATTTAGAGTATGAGATTAAAAGTTAACTTTCCTAGTACAACAGCTGAACGTCGTTATTCCAGTTGGATTGGTGGTTCTATTCTAGGATCTTTAGTAAGTAAAATGACATGTATATTCTATTAGATTTATATCTTTTATGTATAGCATTTTATTCTGACTGAATTGTATTATATGTCTATTATAAGTATCATCAGTATTGTTAGTTCTTATTTTAAATGCTGTTAAATAGTGAATAGATTTCAAAGTTGTTTGATGTAGAGATTTATGGAGGGTTAACTTAATTATCAGAGGGAGTTTGTGGAGATTTTAGAAATTTCACAGAATAAAATCATGAGTTAATTGAAGCTTGGATTGGTTGAAGTTAGACATTAACACCGTCGGATGCCGGCTCAGTGGTCTAGTTGGTTAAGTGCATGGCGCGAGACTGGTAGGCCCTGGGTTTCGAGCCTCGCGGGGTGCGGGGCCGTGAGTGCGCACTGCTGAGGAGTCCCATACTAGGACGAGACGGCCGTCCAGTGCTCACAGGTTTTCCATGGTGGTCTAGCTTCAATCGAATCATGATCTCAATCTGTTAACTTGATTATCATGAAAAAAGTCATGGGTTAATTATGAATTCTAGTTAGTGTATACTTATGATATGCACCTCACATTGAATCCAGGACATTTTAGGCTTCTCGATGAACTATTCATTTTTAGATCACTTAGTTGAAAACCAATTGGGTCTATATTCCAATTTAAATCAATTCGGATTTAGTGGAGTTTAACTGTGTAGAAAATTTGGCAGTAGTTATACACCAATCAGATAGGATGGTTGTCGGACTGTCACTAATTAACTCAAATCGGAAATATGAATTCATTAAACTAGTGATTTCACGCCAATTCAGTGTTCCTTACTAAAGTGACCTTCAATAGCCCCTTGATTACATGACAAAAAACTGTAGAAAATTTCGTCCTTATCACACTAAAGTCAGCCAGTTATACGCAACGTAGAACCTGACACATATGTACATTGGTTCCAGTTTCTATATCTCATTAGCACAGAGTGATGAAATTATCAAGTAAAAAAATCTCAGTACAGTAGAGGTAGTAACAGTATTAGTGCTAAGAGAAAAGATTCGGGGTCGAAAATGCCATTTGAGAAGGAAATATAAATTAGTGAAATAGTAGAAAAAGTTACCAGGAATTTAAGAACTTTGAATATAAAGGAATAAAAGGAGTGAATGCACCTGCTTCATTGTGAACAATTCTGAACTATGTGACCCAAAGCCTCTAACCATTGGTTACGATAATCATACAAACTGCAACGACGTAATCTGCACAGACTCATCTATATGGCTGAGTCTAGTAGTTAGTACCTTCATGATATGGTGTCATATCTTGGTTTGTCATCCTCTAACATTCTTCCAACCTACTTCTACACCAGATAACGTCGTGTGTCGATGTAGGTGATCGATTGATTAGCACATGTAATACATGTTCCAACCATTTCAGTCGATAAATATTCACTACTTCTTCAATGGATTTCCCATATTTATCTAGCACTGTGGGTCTAATTTCAGGACTGTTAACTCGATGGTTCCAAAATATACGAATAATTGTTTGAGAGCATCTACGATTGAATACTAATAACTTCCAAATATCCCCTATTTTTAAAATATTTAATTTGTTTTTCTCGATTTTACAGGGTACCTTCCAACAAATGTGGATATCTAGTCAAGAATATAATGAATTAGGCAAAGGATGTGTGGATAAAAAATGTGCTTAGGAAGAGCATATATTTATTAATAAAATTCTTTTTTTTTATCCATCCTACATGTATTTTACTTACTCGCTTTCAATCCCACGCACTGTGTGTGTGTGAGGGGCTATTAACATGTATAATGCAAGTGTAATCTGCATTTCTTTGTAATATATGTTTACATATTATCTATCTTTTCTGTGTTTACCTCTTCAACGGAGTTTAGTTCGACTTATCACGAGTAGTCGTACTCTAAGTGTATTCTTTACATTTTGTTAGTAAAAATTATAGACTTACCTATGTTATGGCAACTTAGATCTGTCCCAGGCTCTATATTGATAATGATTGATACAGTTGTGCTTCAGTATGAAGACAACAATCTACTTTAACATTCTAGGTTACAGGTTCAAATTGCTATCTCCATCTACTTAGTTTAGGTCAGATAAGTAGTATTTCTATAAATGTGATTTAAACTCGCCTATGTTATTTATCTGTGTTCGAATACTGATAAGCAGAGATGGATGATGGCTAGTAGTGGATTTCAGGGCATGCGTTTTGTCCTATTTGGGACCCGTCAGATGGATATACATACATCCCAGAGTTTATGTTTATTCCGAAACTGGAACTCATTACAAATGAATTCGAATAGAGTTATGTCAAAATTTAAGCTAATCATCTTTTCCCAACGGGATTGACGTTTCTTTTGTCACCGATTTACATAATTAAGCAACTGAAGATATTATACAGAACGTAAGCCGTGCTTGATGTGTCTGTGCATTGAACCACATTTTCTTTCATTAATGAGTTATGTCCAATGAAATCCAAGGGTATGTGTTCATTCAACTGGATGCTTTTAATTGCGAAGATTCATTTTTAGTTCTGTACATTATCTCAGCTGTTCTACTTCGTGTGTAAAAGTGAAGAATTAAGATCACTTCTATGTAAATTAGGTGCTCATAAGATTTTGTCCAGAGAGTCAATAAACGATCTGCGATTAAACCGTTTAGCTCAGAGAACATATCAACAGTAAAAGTATCTATCTGTGCTGCGATTTATTCATCATTACTGTATGTTTTCTTCAGTGACACCTAAAACATTCATTTTCAAAGCTTTACATCCGTATATATATGTATTTCTTAGATTGAAAGTCTCTTATGTGTCTTATGTTTAAAGTAGATATTATTAGTAATGCAATTAAAGTGATCTTGAAAGGTCGATTAGAAAGACTTTCTAAGCAACAAATCGTCGTGTAACTTATCATAGTTTCCCTTTTATGCACATCTAGATGAAATATCAGTTATATCAACCGATCAATTTTGTATGTATAAGCCAGGTCATCTTCTTCTTTGAGGCTAAATACTTAGATTGTTCGTCTTAACTGCTTTACTGCGTAGAATGTTATCTTTCACCATGAATTGACGAAGAATAGCGTATAATGATTGTGTCACTTAGTCTACAATAGCCTTAGATTCATCTTTTTATATGTCGAGATTCAGTCAGGTATGTTGAGGGATTCACCATTAAATTTACTTTTGCATTGCAGAAGCTTTAGTGATACAGATCTTATATATTGTAACAAACATGGAGCATGTGGATGATAATTGTCACATTAACTTCGTTTGATATAACACTACTGAAAACCAAAGAGTACTGGGAATTGTTTCGTCATAATGTGTTATTCCATAGAAATGCTTCTTTACAAACTCAAGGACCACACCTCAAACTTTGAAATCTTGTTGTAGTTAACATGTAACCTTCTTGGAAACTGAGTTTACAATCCAAATTCAATTCATTTATGATTTAGAACGACTAATGTTTAACACTAATAACTAATACTATTTCACTTTCAACATGGTTGAACTCTTAGGTTCAATCTTAGATGCAATCCCATAGAGAGTCCTATGATAAAATAAAATCGATCAAATTACTCTGAAGTATCATTTGATGTGCTTTTTCTTTTCCTGTTTCTAGGGGGAGAGTGTACTCTTGGAAGTTTTTTTTTGTTTTGTTTTAAAATCTAGTTGTTTATTCCTTTATCTATTTTGTTTTCGTATATACACACAAGAAGTAGAAAGAAAACAATATTTCTCAAAAAGATTATCATTTCAAAATGATACTGATTTATTTGTTGTTGTTGGTGTTGTTGTTGAATTTAAACAAAGTTAAGGGTAAAGAAAAGAAAGAAGGTAAGTATCCCATTTTGTTCTACTATAAAGTAAAAAAATGCATTTGATTGAATAATGTAAACAAGTTTAATATTGAAACATTGAATGATTTATTAAATACATAATAAAGATTTATTCATTAATGAATGTTAAAGTATATCACTCAGACAGTCAGTCAGTCAGTCAGTGAGGTACAACTTAGGACCAGGCATATATATGCATTGGTTCAAGTTGTTATACTTCATTAGTACAGTACAATATAACTATGAATTAGTAGATACAAGAATAGGATACTATTACTACTACTACTACGGTTACTACTTCTTCTTTGTTAATCTCATTTTCTTTTCTTAAGCACAATGAATGAATGATTCGAGAAGAGAGAGAGAGAGAGAGAAAAAGGTGCTAAGTTGAGAAATTGAATGATAAATTATTATATATTATAAAAAATAGGTGGGTGGGTAGAGGAGGTGTGTATGTGAGTGTGTGTGTGGGGGGGGCGATACATTGTTCTTTTATGCATATAGGGAAGGATACAAATCAAAATAGGCAGATAAGTAGGATTGAATAACAAAAGTCCATATGGTTATTATTATTATTCAAAAGACAATTGATTGATTATTTAGGATCATTCTTCATTGTTTACTTTCTAGATCTAATAGTTACTATGTATGTACAAATTGTCTAGGCAATAAATGATAATCTTGTATATATGTATATATATTGTTAAGATGATATTGTTTCATCATCTAATGGTACAGTTGTAGTATTACATGTTTCAAGGGTTTCAATTATTCCTGTGAATGTATCCGACATTTGATTTACATAAGACTAATTGATTTCCATTATATATATATTGATAATATAAAAGAAAAATTAAAAAAAGAAGAAAATCGATTAATATTTTGTTATTTTTTAAAGTTTAAATATTACCCTGAAAAATATTTAAGCGTTCGCGCGCGAGACCGGTGGCCCGGGGTTCGAATCCCGCGAGCGGGATTGTGGATGCGCACTGCTGAGGAGTCCAACAATAGGACGAAACGGCCGTTCAGTACTTCCAGGTTTCCAAAGGTGGTCTAACATCAATCGGTTCATGATCTCAATCGAAATTTAACAATAAAGTTGTATCTATAGTGTTAGTTACTATGTTAAGTTTATTCTAACCTTTAGACAATCTAATTGATTCATGCTACTTGAGTTATGTTTTAACCTTTCTAATTATTCTCAGAAGGGGTTTTTATGGATATTATAGTCAGTTCAATGGTTGAGACCATGAGTCAATTGAAACTAGATCATTATGGAAAATCTGGAAACATTGGACGGCCGTTTTATTTTATTGTGGGACTCCTCTGTAGTGCGCATCCACGATACTGCCTTGTTAATTATTCACTTATCAACCTTGACTGTTTTTCTATGAGCATATGTGTGTGTGTGCCCTTCTTATCTTATTCATTACATGTCTGTAACTTATTTTCTTGTGACCATAAATGTCAATTATTTCTTGATTAAATGGAGTTGGCTCATACACCTTCTCCACTGGATGTTATTTTCACTTCTCTCTCTTCTCTTCCATTCGTCCCTCTGATTATCTGTTCAGATCAATGAGTGTACAAAATATGCGTATTCAAAACCTACATTCTCGTATTTGACTTATTTAATTCTGTTATTTACTAACGCGAGTTAAGTCGATAATTTTATACAAGGATTGGCAACTTGTAGTGTCGGTAGGTGTAAACTACCTGGTTGGGGACCGCGAGGTGATAGCAACCGATGGTTAGAGACCCTGAATGACATGGCTCAAAGTCGTTTGCAATGGCGCAGGTGCATGCACTCTTTGTGTTCTCCCGAATTTTCATCTCCTTATTCCTCCTTGTCTCTTTTTTTCTCTTCTCAAATTTATTTCACTGTATTATACTCTTTAAGTAACATCTCCAAACACTAATCTTCCCGATTACTGCTTATACTCTTATTATCTCTACCAATACGGGATTTGAATCGACCACTGCATCTCTGTGCTAATGTGGTGTGGCAACTCGAACTGATGTATGTACGTACGAAGTTCTACGTTCTTACTGACTGACTGTCGGTTACCTTGACGAATATCATTAAACGCGCGGCCATTTTTGTATTTTTTTTATTGATTGTTTTTCTTCTTATTTTCCAATATTTTTATTTCCGTTTCGTTCAATTAAATTCGCTATTATTAGTTGTTTATTTCTTAAGATTGATATAGAATGTCAATACTTATCGGCAGAGCTCCGTTTTCTTCAAATTATGGACGATAGTAACGTACAAAGTACAAGCTCTACAGTTTCTCACGTTGTCACAGAAACAGATAACGTATTCTTGAATTACATTGTATCTGGTAGCGTTCCAATCACTTGAAGCGTTAAAGAGCATCATCAGAACTTATGAAAGAGCTATGTACTGTCATTATGCGGTGAGAGATTTTCATTTCCATCGTGATCAGAAGCCGTATATAAAATTTATATGTTGGAGAAATGGCCGTAGAATACCTAGCGATTCCTCACAGCCGATTAGACGAAGGAGGTAATTTGACTAGTCTTATTATATTTTTTCATAAAGGACTTCAATGAAAACTCAATGCTCGGCATTCACTTTTTGTAGGTTTATTGAAGGTTATTGAACTGTTGTTCGTGAAAATGTGAATCACAATCATGTGTGCAATTCCCTGAGGTACGATAGTAATTATTGGATGCGCAAGTTAACGAAGGGTGTCTTTGAGATAGTGTGACCACTTCTGATTCCTTGGACAGTAGCATTCAATATTCTGCACTTCGCTTACCAATCTTAGGGAAAGCGCCTGAATGCTCAAGATGTCTTTAATGTGCGCCACAAAGTGTTCTCACAGGCCAACCTTCCTGGTGAACAATGTGCCTATTTATATTAGGTTAGGTGATTACGCCAAATTGAAAGCTTACATAATGTCGCTTGGTGGGCTTTGTGATTACCAATTATCTTTTGTATTTCTTCTTCACAAACTGCTGATAAGATGAATTTGTCAAGTCGTTTTTTTAATGTTGTTGTCTCTCTGATTGTTTGTTCCGATCAACGATTGTACAAAATATGCGTATTCGAAATTCATTCTCTTATTTGACTTATTTTAATTCCGTTATACTATAACGCGATAATTCTATACGAGGATTGGCGACATGTATATCTCGATAACTATCAGAACCGATCAAACTGGAGTAATTAGAATTAGATAACGTGCCACGAAAGTATATTTCGTTCGATATGTTACTGGATTATATAAATGATTAATTTTTACAATCAAATTCATGAGTTGATCTAAACTAGACCACCATTGAAAACCTGGAAGCATTTTAATCAACTAAAGTTAAACATTAACACAGTTGGATACCGACTTAGTGGTCATATTAGTCAAGAGTTCACACTCTAGATTGAAAGTTCTAGGTTCGAGTCTCATGTGGATGTGTACTACCTAGGAGTCCATTCATACTAGGAAGAAACAGCTGTCCAGTACTTCCGAAATTTCACTGATGGTCTAGCTGAATTCGACTCATGAATTCAACTGTGAAAATACTACAATATTCACAAAACTCAATATTGAATATGATTAATTCATTTAAAAAGAATAAAAATGTTTCAGTGAAGAATTTTATCGTTCAAATTGCAATGTAACTACTATTCTGTGACTTTACATCCCATTGACTATGTTGTGATGTGAGGTGAAGGTAATCTATATGAAGCTCCTTACCTGTTTCGGGCTATTACACTCGTCAGTAAGGTGTACTGGGGTCAACCTAAACAAACTGATGGTCGCTGATGGATTTGATTCCGTGTTACTTAGCTTCACAGTGAGAGACGTTACCACTGAACTATTCAGGCAGGGATTGACGTCACCATAGGACTGATATGTGTTTGCAATTAATTGATTACTGAGATGGTCTTAGATAATCACTAAAAACCAGCATACACTGGATATGGGTCTTATTCTAGCGATATGGCAAACCAATCAGCAGTAGCTTAATGAGAAGCCCAAGCGATGGCAATCAAAAGTGACCGAAGAGACAAGTGAATTTCAATTTGGCAGTTGATAAAGACATGGATTATTTTCCTAAGGGGTAGAGTGGTATATTTATATATATGTGAGCATTTGTGCTTTTTATTCGGTAGCCCAATATAATCTCTTTTTCATTCCTATGTTCTCGCTCATGTGGTCTGTTGGGGGGTTAGTGTGTAGCACATCGTGTATCAGTATCAAATTTCAGACACCGCCCGTCACAGCATCTACTATGAGAATCTTTAAGAGTACACACTCACGAGCCCACTGGGGATCGAACTCAGGATTTTCAGTTTTTGTGACGAGTGTTTAACCTCCAAACTGATGAATTGGTTTAGTTGTTATTTGGAACGTTTAATTATTATTTCAAATTCTTAATTCAACATATTCTTGATATCACCACATCTATTAGATAGGTAGATTTCTGAGTTTCAATAGAAAAGTTTAAAAGAAAATAAGTAAAAACTGATGTAACAGAACGAAGACTGAACAAATGGTAGCTCTTGAAACTATCATTATGTATATTCTTATTGTCTAAATGTTAAACAACTGGAAAACTGTTTTTATATTACATTTATTGTATTATTCTAGTTGGTACACTGACGATTACTATTCACCTTAATAGTCCTAATTTATTACGATTCATTTAGTTACAGCTTATCCAATTCCATTGCCACTTTTCGCCGGTTTTTTGTATAACGATGATTCTCTATTTTATGGTGTGATATGGTCCAGTATGCCTATACATCAACACATGTATATTTGAGATGATAATTTATATAAAAGTTTGACTACTGTCTTTTTCTTACGAACTCAAGGCTGTTGATATGAGAAAGCTTTATGTATCGGCAGGCTATCTGAGGCTGAGTTTACGTTAGCTAAAGGTTAAACATGTCGGTTGAATCATATCATTGGTCAAAACTAAGGCGTAGAAAAATTATAATCGGAATTCAGGTTCGCAAATCGAGTAAGTGATATCGATTAACGATAGACAGCAAAGATCAGTAGTTTAAAAGGTTTTAAAGGATCTGTTGTGTCATACGATCAATTGATTAATGTAGAGAATTGTTGGATGGTATATTCTAATCGTCATAGTAACGTCACTGGTTGAAATCATGAGTCAATTGAAGCTAAACCATTATGGAAAACTCGAAAGCACTGAACGGCTGTTTTCGTCTTAGTATGGGACTCCTCAGCAGTGCGCATCCACGATCCCGCGAGCGGGCTCAGTGGTCCAGTTGGTTAAGCGTTCGCGCGCGAGACCGAAGGCCCTGGGTTCGAATCCCGCTCGCGGGATCGTGGATGCGCACTGCTGAGGAGTCCCACAATAGGACGAACCGGCCGTCCAGTGCTTTCAGGTTTTCAATTGTGATGGTCTAGCATTAATCGGTTCATGATCTCAATCAAAAATAATTTAATAGTTGAATTCATAAGTCCATTAAAGCTAGACCACTATGGAAAACCCGAAAGCACTGAACGGCCGTTTTCGTCTTACAGGACTCTCTAACAGTATCCACGATCCCGCTCGCGGGATTCGAACCCAGGACCTATCGGTCTCGCGCACGAACGCTTCACCTTTAAAACACTGAGTCGGTATCCCATGGGGTTAATGTCGATTCGATCAATCAATCAGAACATGATTTAATTTTACATGGTGCTTTGATTGGTTTACAGGAATTGAGTATTTGCAGCTTGTTACAACCAATAAAAACGCTGAATTCATGTTCGAATCCTATTGAAATTTTATGCATTAAGAGTAATAATTTGAACATTAGAGTCTAAATATTATTGATAAATCTTCTTAATTTCGTGTTATTAATATCTATTTAATGAGAAGAGAATTTTGAATATTATCAGGACATGGTAGATAAGTGGATAACGCGATGGTGGCTAAAGCGAGCAGTATTGGGTTCGAGTCCAGGAGTGAATATCAACTCTGGGATGCAGCTACGTCCAGCTGACGAGTCCCAAATAGAACGAAACGTACGTTTTGAATTCCACTACTAGCCACCATCCATTTTTACTTGTAAAGTTTGTGACTTAAGGCAATATCGAGGCGATTCGTACAGGATGCACATATGCCAACAGGAGACTGATCAATTGCAGTCCTAAACATCAGTAGGAGAATACAAGCAAAACAATATCAAGTGAATTATTAATATTTACCTGAATTGATGTCATGCACTTTTCAACGCCAACCAAACGTTGAACAAAAATTGTTTGATCAGCTCGAATATGATTTACAGTTTCATATATGCTAGTTTGTAGCTAGAAAAGTTATTAAGGAAACAATAACAACAAATCAATTGGATAGCGAATAACATAGATGGAAACTATGAAAAGTAAAAAACAAAGTATTTTATTTTGACAGTTGAATTTTAGAGTCGATCTAAGCTAGATTACCTATGAAAACCGATCCCGTACGTGAGACTCGAACCCAGAACCTTCACTTTCGCATCAACGCTTGACCTCTATAACCGCTGAGCCGTCTTTCAACGGTGTTAATGTTTAACTTCAATCGATCCATGATCTTGAGTAACTGTCCATCCATTGTCTTAGGTGGATATTTATCTCCACCATACACGGATTGGACTCTATTGATCACGGTTTCTCACTAGAACTCAAGGAATTCCATCTTTGAACTAGTCATCAGTGAATGAAACGGTCATCCAGTGATTTTAGGCTTTCAATGATGGACTCATGAATTCAACTATTAAAATTACTATAATCTATACAAATTCCCATTTCGATAATGTATTTTCTGTTTGATATTGCTCATAACATACATCGATATGAGTGATTGAAAAGTTTCTGCCGATCACGTTTCTTCACTATTGATGAAACTTTACTTTGTTCTAACGGTACAATTGATTTTATTAAAATTACTGCGACAATTCAAGTGATTGAACTGATACTTCATAAAGGGAAACAATTGCATGATACTATTCTTCTGGAACCAACTTCTCGCATCTCAAATGATTAGAAATCAGACGATACTAGTACTATAAATCAACGGCTAGATTGTATAATTGAAAGAATTGGAATAATTATCTCTGTTGTGTTAGTTTATTAATTAATGGATGAAATAATTAAAACACTTATGTTAAGTTCAATTCAGTTATTGCATAAGTTGCAATTTAGCTTACTAGTTAGAATAAATCCACATCATATGGAATATGATTTGGCGCTAGGTGGTTGGAAGTAGTCAATAGAAGAGCCTGGAGACTCAGGTTCTTAACTAGTTTTTACTCACTAATAAGGGGTATCTATATTGCTGCAACTAAGACATTCTAGCCTCTACTAACCCCCTGTAAGGCTGCTTTGTAAACAGTGCCTATATAATGTAGTTTATGTTGAAATGTATTATCACATATGTAAAAATGTTTCAAATCAAGCTTATGTGTATGGACAACAAATTGAAAATAAATGGACAACAAACAATCATAGTGAGACTATAATTTATAGACGAACCAATCAGATTTAACATAACGGGGATTCGGATTTTGGCGCGAAATTCACTCACCCATTTGGCTAAGTAGCGTTTTAGCATTATAGCTGATATCGATTCGTGATGAAAACCCCAAATCTTGTTCCTAACCCTAACCATCAACTGTAAATCATAATCCTTATTTTTCAAAGTGCTTTATGACCTTTACCTAGCCTACCTAACCTACCTACCTAAGTAGGTAGACACTCTCAAGGTCACTTTAGAGTCGCTCAAAGGTCATCCATTAATATTATAATCTCACCACAATTGATGATCACCATAAGTGAACATTTGCTTACTTTGGCTAAATCCACCATAGAATTAGCATCTTCTTTCAGTTTACGTTGATTATCCTTTGCTTTTCTTAATCTATTAAATAAATTATAAAGTTTACAGTAAATGTATTTGATAAATAATAATCTGAAATAAATAGTCCAATAGCTAGTCAAGACTTGTAGTTGAACATGTTTATATTAATGTATGAAACTATGATTGAAAAAGTAAGGTTGAGGCTATGTTATCATGTGGTTGGCGTTTTTTAGCGAGTTAGTTTTCTACGGGATGGGATCTCTAACCACACCCAACCCTTCTCCTTTATCTCATTTGGGACTGGCAGTAGCCCTAGAGGGGCTCCAGGCTCCAGCATGCACCAATCAAATCACACTTGACGGAGAAGATTTGAGAGATGTAAAAACCTTTACATATCTGGGCACCATCATTGTTGAACACGGTGGATCTGATACAGATGTGAAGGCGGGAATCGGCAATGCAAGAGCAGCATATCTACAACTGAAGAACGTCTGGAAATCAAAACAACTGTCAACCAACATCAAAGTCACAATTTTCAATACAAATGTCAAAACAGTTCTACTGTATGGAGTGGAAACTTGGAGAACTATGAAAGCCATCATCCGAAAGATACAAGTGTTTATTAACAGCTGTCTACAAAAAATACTTTAGATCCATTGGTCAGACACTACCAGCCACAACCTACTGTGAGAGAGAACAAACCAGATCTGAGCGGAGGAAGAAATTCGGAAGAAGCTCTGGAAGTGGATATGACATACATTAGAGAAAGCATTCAGCTGTACCACAAAGCAAGCTCCCCATTGAAATTTTCAAGGCCAAACGAAAAAAGGATGATCAAAGAACACATTACTTCGTGAAATGGAGAATTAACAACAATTGGATAGAACTAGAAAGGAGGGCCCAGAACAGAGTGGGTTGGATTGTAACAGGTTGGGTTATAACTAAACAGATACAAAGTATAAGAGACTTTTTAGTCAAAATTGAAGCTGAACGGTTGTCTTAAACGTTTATGATCTTTGTGGTTTTCATGAATGTCTCTAAAATGTTTGATACATTTGAAAGTAACAGTTTTCTTCAATGAGTTATCTCCATATTGAGCCTTCAGTATTGAATGAATTTCTTATTAGTTTAGTTGTTATATCCGTAAGTTAAGTTATGGGTAACTTCCTGGAACTATTTATAGACTGTTATTACATATAAATATTCTTATTGGATAACTATTGCGTAACTATATTATATGTATATTCATATTCCTTGTATTATAAGCTTCCATTTGACCTGTTAACTATTATTATACGATTTACTATTCTTAAGTTATTCCCAACACATTAGTTACAGCCTCCTATACTCACATCCGCTTTTGGCTTGATCTAGTATAATTGTTTTATTGTTTCATGGTGTGTTGAGTCTGGTTTGCTTGTATATGGTATAAACCGTGTATGTCTGAAATATAGTGGAGGCTGGGATTGCTTTCTGGACTCAACAAACAACTCTATGCGAGATGGACTAATAAGAACTGGGAGTTGATTCCGGATTGCTCGTACCAGTTAAAGCGTCATTTGTTTGGTACAGTTCCAGAGCCTTATAAGTTGGTGATCTGATTGACAATCTTGTCATGTAATAATTAACAAGGCAAAAGTCATAATATTAGTTGTGTTCATAACTAACAATTTAAATAACTTAACTGCTGATGTTAAAAAAGAGTTATTCTTAAACACTACTTTTCTTTGAATTAGTACTTGGTAGTTGGTTGGAGAATGACGAGTCCATCACGTAGTTGACATTATCTGATTGAATTAATATACAATCTTATAGTTAACGCTACCCGTCAGCCAAATGGACAGAGTGTTGTAGATTGTATAGATAGTTCCGGGGTTTAAGTTTTATTGTAACCAATAATACTAGGATATAGGTATATATAACTGACGAGACCTATGTAAGACGAAATACGAGGATCTGAATTCCACTGTTAGCTATATTTCAAAATTGTAATCAAACTTGTAACTGTAGACAGTCTTTAGACATTCATTCAAGATGCACATATATATCAATAGAACATAACTGGAACGTAATCTCAAATATCATAACAAGTGGAAATTATACAAAACGTTATTAATTGTGATCACAAATCGATTGAACTATCATGTTTGAAATTCATTGTACTTCATAAAAGTAACTAATCTATGAACAGGTTGTCAGGTCCCGTTAAGCATAATGAATGGTAACTTTGGGATCTATTTATGGACCAATACTAAACGTATATTTTTATCGTATAATTGTGAAATAACTAAACTATTCATATTCATATTCCTCTTATTATAAGCTTCATTTTGACCTTTGAACCATTATTATACGTTTTACCATTCTTGAATTATGCCCTGTCTGTTAGTCACTGCCTCCCATATTCATAGCCACATTTGTCCAAATTTTGCACAAATGTTATTTTCTGTTTTATGCTACATTGTGGTCTGTTTGATTGGTGTATAAACTCAGTATGTCTGAAATATAATGATTCATTTTGCAGATACTGAGACTGGTGTTCTGGACTTAACTGATTAGGCTAGGCGGAAAGCAGGACTAATCAGGACTCTAGGCTGCTCGAACGTGTTTTACGCGTCCTTGGTCCGATCGATAATTCACTGCTCCCGAATCGGCGGTCACAAGTTATAACACAGGTCTAATCTTATGGGATGATTAGCCAACAGAGTTTATCTTCCACATAATTTCTAACATGATTCCGAGCAATTGTTTTATGTCAGAGAACAAGAACGCAATTTGAGGGCAATCAAATGTATTTGGACCCAACCTTACAGAACAAATTAGTAAAATCTGCGAACCATACGGTAAATACTTCATTTGTAAGACGTCAATCAATCATATCAGATTTGATTGTTTTTTTTGTTTCCACACCAATCATTCACTGTTCTCATTCTCTTTTCTTTGATCTTCACCTTCTATCATTAGACGTTTACACTTTCGATTAATGATATATACTACTTATATCAGTCGATATCAGTAGTATACACACAACATTTTAAGATAATCAATAGATAAACTGTTTATTGGTTGTTGTTTTTTTATTATTATAGTTTTTAATAACTTACCTACTTATTGCTGTTAAAAATTTTCTTTGATGCCTTCTTACTCGACCTGGTTTAACACGTTTGACAAGTCTTGTATATTTGTAAAATAGCCAAGTTTCACGTAAAACATTAGCAGCTGAATGTCGAAGCTAATTAAATAATTAATATCGGTTTAGGGGTTGTGGAGATTGTTAAGTTTTTGATTGAAATCATGAGTCAAATGAAGGTAGACCATCATGGAAAACCTGGACGGCCGTCCAGTGCTTCTAGGTTTTCCATGGTGGTCTAGCTTCAATTGACTCATGATTTCAGTCATAAATAATTAATAGTTGTAATAAATAACAAAACAAAGGGGGTAGATATTAGGGGAAAGAAATAGGAAAGTTTTGAAAGTATTCACTTATTCTTTTGAAAAAAGATTACGGATTCATGAAGGAATCTTTTTAGTTTTGCATCATCTGATCGCTATATAGTAACCAATCTACATACTTACTTATTGTTACCCCTCGTCCAGGCGCGTAGGCTGACCACAAGTATTCTCCATTCAACACTGTCTTGGACAACCATTTCTAGTTACTACTCATCCTTTTCATGTCCGCTTTCAATTCTCAGCATAGTGTGTTCTTCAGCTTTCCTTTTTTCCATTTCCCTTCTGAATTCTAAATTAGCTCTTGCCTCGTGATGCAGTTTGGTGATTTCCAAAATGTATGTTCTATCCACTTCCAAACTCTTTTCCTAATTTCTCCTTCAGCTGGAAGCTCGTTTGTCCTCTACCACAGCAGGTTGTCGCTGATGGTATTTGACTAATGAACATTGAGTATCTTGTGTAGAAAATTGTTTATAAATACTTGTACATGTTTGATGATGATTATGGTAGTTCTTCACGTTCCAACTCCATACAGTAGAACTGTCTTGACTTTCGTATTGGAAGTTCCGACTTTGATACTGGTTGGCCGTTATTTTGAGTTCCATATGTTCTTCAATTGTAGGAAGGTGGCCTTAGCTTTGTCAATCCTTGCCTTCACATCTGCATCAGATCCCCCTTATTCGTCGATTATTCCGTCCAGGTGCGTGAAAGTTTCTAGATCTTCCAAAGTTTCTCCATCAACTGTGATCGGATTGGCGTTCTTGGTGTTGTATTTAAGGATCTTGCTTTTCCTCTTGCGTATACTGAGGCCTACTAATATAGAGGCTGTTGCTACACTAGTTGTCTCCATCTGCATTGGTTGGTGTGTATGGGATAGAAGAGCTAGGTCATCTGTGAAGTTCAAATCTAGTAATTGATATCTATATATTACTAATATTTTGAAATCTACTTACTTAAGCATTGATACTTAGTGATCACTGAGTTGTAAGAAAATCTGTTACTAATTAATCTCATTTGGAATACCTTTAAAAACTAATGAGAAGTCGATAGCTATTTTGTTATAGTATAGTTTTTTTCTAGGCAATCACGATCTTTCTAGGGATTACACTTTGATACGATGGGTTCATATTTAAAACACTGCTGAGAGTCTCCATACTCGGATGACACATTTAATGATGTAAGCAATCAATTTCAACAATTGTCTACGCAAATAGTCAAAGAAATGAGTTAATCTATGATTGTGGAAGAAAGTGTTACTATGGATAAGTAGTTAATTCATTTCACTTTCAATTCGTTTATCTAACACTTTAACATCGTTAATACATACTACTATCTGGCTGACAGAGTAGTATCATTCATCGTTATATACAACACATATAAACTTGAAGCGGAATACATAAACTGTAGAAATAATAATATAACCAATCAATCCAACGATGTATACCTATACTTATGAACGTACATTTTTGTAGAATTTATTATCTTGCATAAAATTGTGTACATGTTTCTCAGCTCTTGTTAATTCTAGCTTACGTGCAACCACTGCAACAACCAATGCTGTACATGCAGATCCCTGTAGAGATATCAAGACAAAAAAAGAGAGGAAAACCAAGGAACACATTACATCGGGAATTGGAAGCAAATATTTAAAGAATGAATTGAATAATGGTAACAACTTGAAAAGATTTCTCATAACATAGTTCGATGAAGAATCTTGATGGGTGGTCTATGCTTCTCGATGAAAGATAACAGGCGTAAGGAATAGTAAGATTCATAGCACTCTTTATCTTGAACTTTTACATACGTAACACATAACAAGTAGGTTAGATTGATTTTATTTGGTTGAAGATAAGTTATTTTTTTATCGGTTAATTTGTTGTCTTGATAATGTTCAGTTAACTAGTGAGTAATTTTTTGATTAAGCACACAAACCGATTGATGTTAGGCCACCACTGAAAACTGGATAGCATTGGACGACCGTTTTGTCCCAATATGTGACTCCTCAACAGTGCGCATCCACGATCACACACACGAGACTCGAACTCAGGACCTCCAGTCTCGCACATCGACGCTTAACCTCTGGACCACTGAGTCAGCATCCAACAGTGTTAATGTCCATACTGGTGACCAGTGAATAAACACAGATATGTATATGATAAAGCATACAATAATATTTCTTGTAGTCGGTATAAACGTATTTCACACACACACATCCTCTCTCTCTTTATGTCAATATTGTCTTGGTTGGACAATTGTAAATTGTAGTCACACTATACACATAGAGGCTTGCCAGTAATGTTACTAATCGTAAAAGGAAATTTATCGACTAAACTAATTCACAGAATATGGTGGTGTATCTGACAAATTCTTATTGGATTACTGACTAGATACCAGGAGGGAGTTTTGTGGAGATTTTAGTAACTTAATAGTTGAATTCATGAATCAATTAAAGCTAGATCACCATGGAAAACCTAGAAGCACTGGATGACCACTTCGTCTTAGTATGGAACTTCTCAGCAATGGTCTAAAGGTTAAGCGTCCGTGCGTGAGACCGATAAGACATGGGTTCGAACGCCGAGTGCGGGACCGTGGATACGCACCTCTGAGAAGTCCCATACTAGAACAAAACTACATAAGTTTTAACTAAATAAATTTAATAGGTTGAAATCATGAGTCAATTGAAGCTAGATCACCATGGAAAACCTGGAAGAACTGGATGGCCGTTTCGTCCTATTATGGGACTCCTCAGCAGTGCGCATCCATGACCCCGCACCCGCGGGATTCGAACCCAGGATCTACTAAATTTAAAGCAAAAAAACCGATTTGAATTCTGTTTAATTGAAATGTTGTCTCAGTTATGTCCCAAAATCAGGTTTGTTCTTAACAAAGAATCGAAATAAATTGCTACCTTATTCTCACTGATAATTTGGTTTTAGAATAGATCTCTAAGAGTTCTAATATGAAGGTATAATAAGTACAGTTCAGTCATGTCAACAGTGAGAGATATATATTATCAATCAAATGCTGAATTGTAACCACATGGTTTCATGAGTTGATCAAGTTAAAAATGCGAACTTATGAGCTCTCAATATAGAGTGATCTTATCAGAGTATATAAGATGATGTATATCCTAGAGGTTTTGAGTTAGACCGTTTCTAAATTGGTCGTTGTGGATGGATAAAGAATACTAATCCAAGATAAAACTGTTACTCATCATTATCTCATTTTCTATAACTTTTCAGCTAATCTTAATCTAAAACTTAAAATTATCGTCAAACTAAACTGCTTTCATTGCATTACATAATTTATTATACATTTGTTTATTTCACCTACAATCGAAAATCTCTACAGGTTAAAAAACTCCTCTAATCTAGTATTCGTGGATTAGTTGAGGTTAGACATTAACATCGTTGGATGCCGGTTTAATGGTCTAGAGGTCAAGCGTCCCCTTAAGAGACTGATAGATCTTGCGTTTGAAACTCGTGTGGCGCGATCGTGAATGAGCACTGCTGAGGAGTCCCATGCTAGAACGAAACAGTTGTCTAGTGTTTCCAGGTTTTTCATGGTGGTCTATCTTCAATTGACTTATGAATTCAATTATTATCTTTTAGATAGTATAATATTTATTTATATTTTTTACTCAAATCGTATCTTCGATCCCTAATCTTTTCTGTTACTATTAACACTATTACTATCATTGCTACTATGAGATTTACCCGAAAAGTTTCGTCTTATTGTTCCAAGCCAGTACGGAAACTTGAATCGATGTAAACATGTGCAAGGTTCTACATTGTGCTTAACCAATTGAGTGACTGACTGATTATCCTGTTGGAAATCTTCATCATTATTTATGTTATAATGGTGTTTTAGTCAAATAATAATAATAAGAACTTACCATAACACCAGCTAATACAGATATTGCTCTGCCACAATTTGTATTTGGCACCATATCACCATAGCCAATACTTAAAAATGTAACAGCAATTAACCACATTGAATTTAAAAGCTTCTCATACTCTTTATTTTGTTCTCTGTTATAAAAGAATAATGAAAAGTTCAAAGGTAGAATCTATTTGAATGGATCATTACAAAGTAGAAGTATAAATAAACTGTGATTTTGAGTTGTAGATTGATGTTTTTCAGATACTTCATGATGATAGAATTTATTGCCAGAATGATGGTTTATGGAGATCGTTGTAACACTTTAATAGTTGAAATTATGAGTTGATTGAAGCTAGACTAGTATTGAAAACCTCGAAGCATTGGACAATCGTTTCGTCCCCGTATAACACTCCTCAATAGTGCGCATAAATGATCCGCTGTCAGTTGCATGGCAGCCACTCTCTGAAGATAGTATTGTTATAACTTGTGACCGCCGATCAGAGAGCAGTGACTTATCGATCGAAACAATGACGCGTAAACCCGTATGAGTAGCTTAGAGTTCTGATTGGTCCTGCTTTCCGCCTAGCTCAGCCAGTTAAGTTCAGAACACAAGTCTCAGCCTCTGCGATAGGAGTCATTATATTTCAAGCATACTCTGTTTATATACTAATCAAGCAGACCACATCGCACCATAAAATGGAAAATAACATTTGTACAATATTTGGCCCACAGAAAAATGACACGTGAAGTAAATATTGACCAATAGGAAAATGATACCATTTCAAGTCCAAGGATAGCATTAGACTTAACAGGATAATGTTTGGGATATTTTTCTGAATATCCCAACAAGTATAAGACGGTCGCGCAATATCGTGGGTTGACTGAAGTTAGACACTAACACCGCTGGATGTCGGCTCACTGGTCTAGAGGTTAAGTGTCCGCTTGCGAGATCAAAGGTCCTGGGTCCAAGTCCCTTAGATGCAGGATTGTGAATGCGCACTACTGACGACTCCTATACTAGGATGAAAAATGTCTCTAGTACAACTAGATGTTTAATACTTCACATCATACTTTTGATGCAGAAAACTATTACATTTAGTACAGGAATAAGAAATGATCATCGCAATTCAGAAAAAAATCAAATCGAATACATATATACTTGATCACGTATACAAAACCTTCAGTTTTGAACAGATATATGGGCGTCCAACGCTTTCAGATTTTCAATGGTGGTCTACTTTAGATCCACTAATGAATTCAACTATTAATATTTATCAGTTTAGTGATTGTGGAGATTGTTAAACTTTTGATTGAAATCATGAAACGATTGATGTTAGACCACTATTGAAAACCTGGAGGCACTGGACAGCCGTTTTGTCTTATTGTGGCACTTAGCAGTGCGCATCCACGGTACCGCACGCGGGATTCGGACCGACGGCCTTCAATCTCGCGCGCGAAATTTATATAATTTTATTTCTAAGCATTAAAAATACTCCAAATTTACAGTCAGCAAGAAACAAAATAGTTCAATAAAAATCAAAATTTTCATTCCTGTTCATTCCGTTATATCAATTAACAGAATACTAATCATTCGAAAACAATTGGATCTCATTATGTTCGAAATAAATATTTCTCATAATAAACAGCCTACTCATGAGTAGTTCAAGTAATACTGAAAAATTAAGTTAAAACGACCATAAATAAATGACTTTTGCTCGGGAGCATAACTAAAGTTTTGCAAGCATAAAACTATCCGTATTTTAACCAAATGTATCATGTAATTAAGCTTGAATTCTGCTAAACCTTAGTTACAGTTTCGAATCTATCCATGAATTTTGAACACAGATATTAAGTTTATCGATCAATGTTGTTACTTTTGTTGGGAATATTCAATTTTTAATCTTTATAGAAAGTTACAACAATAACCTAAGTAACAACAAACTGGAAAATTAAAGTAAACTTGGATTTATCGGAGAAGACGTGGTAATTGGGCAGCTGCAGTAAATTGGACTACTAAGAAGTTTCTTAATTTGTGATTGTGGTAATCCAATGATTTGTGGACCTTAGGTAGACTACCATGATGATGTTATCTTTCGATGTATTATGTGTTGGAGGAAAAGATTTTCTAGAACAGGAACTTTTTTCGTTCGATACGTATTGAGAATAAGACAAGTTATGACAGTTGTTGCGAACTGGATAATAAAAGCACTAGTAACACTGGCTGCAGCTAGGTACTGCAATATATACGAATGATTGAAGAGCGTACAGATGCCAACATAAACTTTGTTATGTGAATCATGTCATTATACACAAGCGCAATTTTGTGAACCCTACAACCGGAGTGAGCACAAACAATATTAAAGGTATCTGGTCGAGGTTGAGAGTTTTATGACCTTACAATGGCTCCAGAGGCCGTTTATCATGAAGTTATATGGATGATCTCTTCTACCTTATGCATTACGATTTTAGAACCTCTAAACCTCTTTCTAACCTTGAAAAGTTTTTGAACCATGTAAAAGATTTGTATCCACTTTAATTATTTGGTATTATATCATATATTTTTGTGAAACTTTTAGAGATTTCATTGACTGAAATCATGAGTCAATTGAAGCTAGACCACCGTGGAAAACCTGGAAGCACTGGACGGCCTTATCGTCCTATTGTGGGACTCCTCAGCAGTGCGCATCCATACCGTGGGATTCGAATCCAGGACCTATCAGTCACGCGCCAGCTGCTTAACCAACTATACCACTGAGCCGGTTTGGTTGATGTCAGACATTAACACCATTGGATGCCGACGGGCTCAGTGGTCTAGTTGGTTAAGCGCTCAAGTGCGAGACTGATGGGTCCTGGGTTGGGATCTCGCGAGGCGGGATCGTGGGTGCACACTACTGAGGAGTACACTACTAGGACGAAACGGCCGTCCAGTACTTCTAGGTTTTCCATGGTGGTCTAAATTCAATTGATTCATGATTTCAATCATCTAAGATTCGAAGGTCTCCATATCCAATTAGTGTGCTAGTTTGATATTTTGTTGTTATAACATTAACTACTTATTAGTAGCCAAATTTATAAATTGAAAGAAATAGACATTGTTTTTATTATTAACAACTTACCTTTCGCATACACGCATAATCCAACTTGTTACAATCCACATAGATAATATAAATATTAATAACATAGTACCGGGACATACTGTAGCTAATGTCTTTAATACAAATCTAACATTAATTTTCACACGATTTAATGCACCAATACTACGTGAACCAGCATCAGTAAACATAGTTGAATGTAATAATAATACACGAAATATTAAATATAATCTTAAAAACATTGGAATTGAAAAAGTCAATTCTAAAATAATCATAGGTACAGGTTTATCATCATAATGAATATCATTATGATGATCATTTATAAATGGTACACTTGGAAATGGTAAATAATCATTTAATCTTTGTGTATGATTATCTAATATGGAATCATAGATTGATGTAGTTATTGGTCTACTATAATATGAATTCATTGGAATACTGGATGATGATAATGAGGATGAGGATGAGGATAAGGGTTCTTGATCATTCAGAACATCATCAAATTGTTTAAAACTTTTTAATGTTGATGCAGTATAATATGAATTTCTATATGAATATATATTGTAATTAGATAGAATTGGTGGAGGATGTACAAGGCATATAAATACTTCAATTAATGTTAATGAAATTTTTCTACAATTCATTGCTATACGCCAATCTTCAATACAATTATTAATACAAAATAACTACAATAAGAGAGAAGAAAGAGAAAAATGGAATACTTTAAGCATAAATTAAGAAGAAAAAAGGTTAAATGATTGTATACAGGGAGGTTGATTATGAATACAGTGGTCGTGAGTGCTGTTAGAGGTATGACAGCAGTTATCACTTCTCGGTCGCTCACACTGTGGAAGGGTTCTTCTGGAGGTACTTGAAAAGGAAATTGGGTTAGAGTTGGTTTTATTGACCTGAGAGCGTGACCGCAGTACCCAAGAGACAACTGCTTGAGGTCGGTCACACACGACCATTTTATGAGTAATTTTGGTGTTAGCTCCGTACTTGTTGAGACCTTACCACCGGAGATGGATATCCGTTGGATAAGTTGAGATGTGCATTTTTAGGGTTGGCCATTTCTAACTCCACCACTCTTTGTGGGGAGGCAGCATCGCTGTCATGGCGTTTTTCTCTGGAGAAAAAGCGCCTTACTGCTGTCACACCTGTACAGTCAGTAGTATGACTTCGCCTTCGGACCTTGGGTTTGTTGCTTCTAGTATTACCGCTCTTCAACCGATCTGTCTGACATGGTAGGACCTTGAGGAACGGTTGTTGCAGCAAGTATAGCTCGGTTGCTTCATCACGATAGCCAAGCTCGACCACCACGTCAAGGTAGCAACAACGGTTTATTAGAATACGATATATTCATTAGTTCATCAGTAATAGTGTGGTGTGATCTACTTATATCTGCATAAATAGCATATTTCGATGATCAGGAATAGAATGTATTTTAGTAGAAGATCGAGAAGGAAACAACAGGAACGGAAAGCAATTAGTATGCCAATGTACGAACAATGAAATCTGAGATAATGGATTGATATTTTGCAAATTAACTATTTACTTTATGGTTTTCAGCTCTTCATTAGATATTTTGTAATTTCGTGTTCGAATACATTCCATTAGCCCATTCTTGTTCCTATTCAATACAATAGCAGTGAATGTATTGTTCAACGATTCATTCTGAATAATTTTAACCATATAAAATATAAATTCTGAAGGCTGAAGACATGTTTAAGTGACATGCATTTAATCGTGGAAGCCTTTAAAGTGTCTCTAGTATATAGTAGAACCGTCAAAGAAGATTGTAGTAACCAATCTAATAAATGTTCACCCTTGAGTCAATTTCTGAAGGATAATAATAGTAAACATAGACATTAGTTGATTAGAAGACTGAGAGGAACTATTCGACTAGGTTGTATTGAACGATACAGATTTCTTAGTTTGGATTTATAAGATAGTCATAATTTTCATTTGAAGACGTCATATGATGTAACTCACATTAGATAAAGTGAATATATTCAGTCTTTATTTTTACCAAAAAAAATTGATCATTGTAACTATTGGGCTTTGTTTGTTCGTATTGAAGTTCCGTTGTTTGACGCTCTCAATTGAATTGTAGTTGTATCAGAAGACTAGAGGGGTGACTATTAGAATGGTTATATGGATAATGTTATAAGTTACGATTATTGATCTTCATTATATCAGTCGTAATTCATCTACATCTAGATCCTACTCAGTACTATTCATTACTTTTAAAACTCCACCTGAAGCCCTTCTGAGGCTACTGCTGGCCCCAAGCCCAGATGAAGGAGGACGAGGAGGAGCATTGGTAGCTCACTAACAAGTTTAATTATTATTATAAATAAAGAATTACAACAAACTTCATGTTCCAAGTTTTCATTCTGTTTACAATTAACCGATTAATGTTTAGTAACTTAATGGTTTAGAATAATTGACTCATAGACAATTAATATAATCCACTAAATACTTAGGTTATAGTGTAGTGAACGAGAACACAAGTGAGGGACAATCGAATGTAAAAAAAATCTGAGAATCATATAGTAATTCCTTTATTTGCAAAATGTCAATCAATCGTTTCAGACTTCACTATTCTTTGATTTCGACGTCAATCATTCTTTGTTCTCGTTCTCTTTTTCTTCGATATTCTTAACCTCAGTTCGGGCATTTTACTTTCTATTGATGTTACACACTACTTATATCTGTCGATATCAGTAGCACACACAATAAAAGGTTACCTAACTGATTTCTAAACTTTCGTAAATGTACAATTTTTGAATAAATTTCATAAGTGAAAATAGTTCATTCACAGAAAGTAAAGCATATTAACACTAGAGATTTTAAAGTTCCAGGAGCTCTGATACTACTCAACACTGTATCATAATTAGCAGTGTACATCCTTACAGTTGTTATTGTTGATAGGTTTCAAATTATTACTTAGTTTTTGATTGAGATCATGAACCGATTGATATTAGACCACTATTGAAAACCTAGAAGCACTGGACAGCCTTTTCGTCCTATTGTGGGACTCCTCAGCAGTGTGCATTTTACGAGCCCGCTGAATATGAATAAGTTCAATTAACTAAATTTAAAATATTAGCACAAGTATCATATGGGGATGAGTATTAACCCATTATTACTGAACTAGCAAAAAACAGTTATTGTGTGGTGTGTGCTAATTATGTCTGCGTCACAAGACAAGCCCTCACATGGAATCATCATGGCCAAAGGAAAAGAGGAAGACCAAAGAACACATTACGCCGGGAAATGGAGATAGACATGAGAAAAATGAACAAGAATTGGATGGAACTAGAAAAGAAAGCCCAGGACAGAGTGAGTTGAATAATGCTGGTCGGCGGCCTATGCTTCATTAGGAGTAACAGGAGTAAGTAAGTAAGTAAGTAGTATATAACACTAGTCAGGAATAAAATGTCTGGTCACAGAAGGTTAAGAAAATCGAGGAGGAAAGAACATGATATGAACCCAATTGGTATAAAAATCTAGGAACAATCAAGTGTAAAACAATTGATTGACATTCTACAGATAAAGAAATTACTGTATGGTTCTCAGATTTTACTAAGAGATTCTGTAATTTTGATGTTTATATACATTTGATTGTCCCCACTTGTGTGTTCGTCCCCAAAATAGTGAGATTTAGTTGTTAAACTGGATACCATAAACAGCAATATATATATTTCGATACACAAAAACACATAATGAGAAGGAATAAACGTTCAAAACAAACAAAAAAAAACACAAACAAAAATCAACTTCAGCTACCTTAACAGTGATGATATAAAAAGAAATGGCCTACAGATGAATACATAAGTCTGTACTAGATGTATATTTGGCTAGTGTAGGGGATGGTTGGAAGAAAGTTAGAGACCGCCAAACCAAAACATGTCATCAGTCCTTGAACTCACTAATTTCTAGTCTGAGCCATGTTGGTAGATGCAGACTACTTGGTCGCGGTTCGTAAGACTATCGTAACCAATGGTTGGAGACTCTGTGTAACATGGCTCAGAATCGATTACAATGGCGTCACTTGATACCTTTCTTTTTACGAACTAATTCTTTCTTTCTGTACTATATTCTTGTATGAAATCTTTCTTTTATATATTACCACCACTGAATTATCTACTTTTATGAATCCGGTGTTCATCTTGTTGTGTTAATGAGGTATGGCAACTTGGACCGGTGCATATATTTGCCTGGTCTTACGTTGTAGCTGACTGACTAGATGAATGATGAGTACACACAATGTTCATACATATATATCTTAGTGTCGGTCGTTATGTTAAGTCCACATAGCTTATTCTGGCTTCCAGATAAGCCAAATTATCCATTCACTTCAAGCGACATTTTAACCTTGTTAATTATTAACTTATCAACATCAACTGTTTTTATGTAAGCGTATGTGTGCAAATTGCATTTCCTATTCACCACACGTTTGTAATTTATTTTCGTTCGACTATAAATGTCTATTACCGCTTGGTCAAATTTAGTTATGTCGCTCACCTTCACCATTGTGTATCGTTTTGTTTCGCTTCGCTTTCTGATCAATGATAATACGAAGTATACATATTTAAAAATCCATTATCGTATGTGACTTACCTAATTCTGTTATTAGATGGTGGTTGGAGGGAGTCGACAGGGAACCCTAGAACCGGGTTTCGTACTTCGGTCGGGATCGAATCCGCCAGGGAGCACTAGTTCTCTCAAGATTACAGGTACACCTTGCTGACGAGTACCAAGTAGCACGAAACCCGAGTACAGGGTTTCCTGTCGACTACCTGCAACCACCATCTAATCTCAATATATAGTGCCCGCAGTGTAGAGTCACCTAGACTGGTGGCCACATTGGAACATGATCGATAGCATTCGATCTGCACTAGATAAGGACTTGACACACATGGCATTGATCACCACCCAGTGATAAATCAATTGTGATAATTCCGTTATTCACCATACGCGATATAGGTCGATGATCATATACGAGGATTAGCGGAATGCATCTTTCAGCAGTAATCAATCATACGATCTAATTGGAGTCAGATCTTGGGCCGCCAATATATACATATGTATTTATAAGAGTATGAAATTCAATACAAAATGAAAATCGACCTACCTGTACATCAACAGCATGATAGACTAGTGTAAGACCAACTAGAATAAGTGTTGATGCACTGATCAATGATTTTACCAGTATAGAATAGATTGATGTCTATAGATGAAAGAAAAATGAAACAGAATAAATAAGAATATAAATCAATATTTTTTTATAATGTAAGTTTCTATTACAACTTCGCCTGGAGTCCCTCCGGGGACTACTGTCGGTCCCAAGCCCGGATAAAGGAGGAGGGTTGGGCATGGGGTTAGCGACCCTATCCCGTAGAAAACTAACTCGCTAAAAAAACGCTAACCAGAAAAAGTTTCTATTACGTAATCTATTCAATGATTATGTTATATCCTAGTGAAGACTAAACTACAAGTAATTTCTGAGACCTATTAATGAACTAATATTCTATATATATATTCTTATGGTATAACTAAACAGTAATTAGATTATGTATATCTATATTCCCCTTCTTATAAACTTTATTTTGACCTATAGATTATTGTTGTAACGGGCGGACCGCAGGTTAGATGCGCAGCGTATTTATCGATCGACTCAATGACACGTAAAACATGTAAGGACAACCTAGAGTCTCGACTGGTCCCGCTTCCCTGTCTAGCCCAGCCAGTCGAGTCCAGAACGCAAGTCCTAGCCTTTGAGTTATGAATCGTTATATTTCAAACCTACTCTGTTTATATACCAACCAAACAGACCACATCGTACCATAAAAATAGAAAACAACATCTGTACAATATTTAACGAGTGAAATAAATAACGGCCAATAGGGAATGTCCATTTAAGGTCCAAGGACATCATTAGACTAAACATGATAATGATTGGTATATTCCTCAGCATCCCTAACAATTATTATTGTACAATTTACTGTTTTTAAGTTGTATCCAGTGTATTGATTACAGTCTCCCACGCTCATAGCCACTTTTTGGTTTTATTATGTATGAATTTTATTTCCTATTTTATGGTGTGATGGGTCTGTTTGGCTGGTATATAAACCAAGTATGTTTAAAATACATGAATCTCATAGTAGAAGCTGGTATTGGTGTTCTGGACTCAACTGGACGGGTTAGGCGAACAAAAGGTTAATAAGTACACTAGGCTGATCATACCGGTCGAACACCATTGGTCATTTTTAGAATAATAAATTAATAGGTGATTAATACATTGATTAATTAATTCATGGCAAAGCAAAGGTCGCATTTCTACAATTGCAAAATATATGGAACTCAAAATAACTATCTTTCAACCAATATCAAAGTCAGAATCTTCAATACGAATGTCAAGACAGTTCTACTGTACGGAGCTCAAACTTAGAGAACTACTACAACCGTCATCAAGAAGATACAAGTATTTATAAACAATTGTCTACGCATAATACTCAATATCTATTGACCAGATACCATCAACAACAGCCTTCTGTGGGAGAGAACAAACCAGCTTTCAAGTGAAGAGAAAATGAGGAAAGGATGTTGAAAGTGGATACGACATATATTGAGGAAATCATTAAACTGTTTCACGAGGCAAGCCTTAACTTGGAATCCTAAAAAAAATGGAAAAGAGAAAGGCTGAAGAACACACTGCTTTGGGGGATAGAAGCAGATATGAAAAGGATGAATGACAATTGGAAGAGATTAGAAAGGATTCTCCGGGACAGCGTTGGATGGAGAATACTGATGGGCGGCCTATGCTTCTCCACGAGTGGTAACAGGCGTAAGTGAAGTAAGTACGTATTTAATTCATATCAATGTGTGATACAAAGAACAACTTGAACGGATTTACAGATTAATGACTATTTCAAGTCAGTACTTTTAAGGTGAAACTACGATGTTGTAGTGACCTACTTTTGTCGAGAGAACGCGATTGGTGTAATGGAAACTATTACTATAACCAATTGTACCAGGGATATATTCCACACTTTATTCGAGAAATTTTCCTAATTAACTATTCTCCTCACTGACTCGTCTGCTTTGTATGGAACGCATACGCACTACCGCCTACCACCCAGCTTCAAATGGTTAAGTTGGACGGTTTCATCGCCAGCTTAAAAGTGCTCTTCGAGCGCACGAAAACAACAAATGGTACGAAACCTTACCGCTCGTCCTCTTAAGTATCAGAACGAGCTTAAAGGCAGATATTCAATGTTTTGCAGCTGAAGTTGTATACGGCACGACATTGCGTCTGCCTGGGGAATTTTTCACACCACAGAACAGTAAATATTTTGGTAAATCAGACTATGTCCAACGACTGTCTGAATTTATGCGAATGCTGCCCCCGGTGTCAACTTGGATACAACATCAACAGGTAGCTCCCCTCGAGAGTTATCTACCTGTTCAGCATTGGTCGTCTCAAACCAGCACACGTCGATGACAGTGCCCTACCTGACAAGTTGGGACTCAATGCTAGACCCAACAAACCTTCTAGCGGGATCTCTACACCTACCTCGGATCTTCTGCTAGATGCATTAGAGACTTCATTGTCACGTCCCGGTCAACAGCAGGTGTCATCTGCGCCATCTTCAGACGAGACTTCCGTCTCACGTCCAGATCAGCAGAACACGTCGTCCGTGACTTTGGACGAGGTTGCAGGATAACGGAGTACGAACGAGACTACCGTCTCACGTTCGGGTAGCCGAGTACGCCTACCTGTACGCTTTCGCAACTAACCGCACAACCAACAACGGATACGGTGTAGGACTATTTCTATACTACATGCATTCTACACCTTTTCTCCTTTTCTTTGATTTTCTTTGTACCCTGAGACCACGCCTCCAACCATCGCCCGTTTGATACTGTCGACTTCAGTCAACTTTGGCGAAAGCTGGCCTGATCACCCACGCTCTTGTCAACGCATTCAGTCGATATTTTGGTTCCGAATATATCTGGCATATATTTGGTCTCGCGCTTGGTTGTTATGGTCGCTTCTGGTTTCTTGGCTCAACGTGGTTTCGTCCTATGTCTGCAGCGTTTTCTGGCCCGGACCCTTACGCACATAATCTTCAGATCCTGGATACAGACCACTCTGGTGTGGTACGCTAAATCAAGCAACAGATACGGCATGTTTCCTTTGGTACCGTTCTGCGTAAAAGACCTTCACTGGCAACTCAAGGATCAACGATCACTTCCTGTTCCGCCAACCCTTTCTTCCTACAATCGCACGTTTGACGATCAGTCCCACAAACTAAACCGCTACGTATCGAAAGTGTAAACCCTTTCTAACGAGGGGCTCCTGTAGTAACCTACTTTTATCAAGAGAACGCGATTGATGTAATGGAAACAATTATTATTATAACCAATTGTACCAGAGATTGTTTTACTGTACTTGTTTGTTTAACTGTACCAAAACACATACTTTCTTCCGTTGATTGTGACCTTGCACGAATTTGTTTACGCTCAGTAACCACACTTGTAACGTGGCACGATCTCGGTATTCTTTCGATACCGCGAGATCGCCAACAAATACATCTCGACCATAGCCATCAACTGACTTCTGATATTTGGCTTACGGGGGAACTTATCGGTTAACTGACACGTAGTCTTCCTGTAGTGTTGATCATAGTCAACCGCGACTCGACGCCGCACTACAATGTAATACATTAAATTAATTAAAGTATCAAGTTTATTGAAATGCATATTATAACTTATAGTTAAAATCTAGCTGTCAGTCATTTCGGATAATAACTATTAGGATAAGATGCTGATAGGAGTGATTTAGTTCACAGTAGTGTAAACTTGATTTGCAATCAGAATATCATACTATACTATCCATTAAATGTTACAATAACTATGTAGTATATGAACAAAGATAGATGGGATACAGGACGTGCGCTTCGTTCAACTTAGGACCTATTAGCTGGATGTACGTGCATCGCAGAGTTGATATTCACACCGGAACTTGAACTTTTGAAAAGCCCTTGCGTTATCCACTTAGCTACTGAGTTTTAATACGCACCCACGTGTAAACGGGTGTGAATTTTAATTTACTTTGTAATGGTTTATATTACCTCGTCGTTGATATTTTAACTGAAATTAAACCATTTTTAGTTTCATTCTATGTAAGAGTTGACAAATGCGCGTGTATTAGTATTCAGTGAGATAAGTACTGCAATCAAGTCTAAGTGTAGACAACGAGAACAACAGTAGGGTGCAGCTACATTCAGTTGACAAATCCTAAGTAAGATGGAACGTGTATATTTGATTTAAATCTAATCACTATCTCACTGGTTGAAATCATTAGTCAATTGAAGCTAGACCACCATTGGACACCTGGAAGCACTGGACGGCCGTTTCGTCCTGGTATGGGACTCCTCAGCAGTGTGTGCCCACGATCCCGCCCCCAGCGAGATTCGAACCCAGGAACTATCAGTCTCTAGACCACTGAGTCGGCATCTAACGGTGTTAATGTCTGATTTCAACCAATCCACGAAGTTGCTTCCAGGTTTTCCATGGTGGTCTAGCTTCGATTGATTCATGATTTCAACCAGTGAAATTCCTAAAAAAATCTCCACAAAACCCCTTCTGATAATAACTATCTGTCTGGATAGTGTATTAATCAAATGAAAATTAATCTGTTTGTCAAGATGTCTATTCTACCGTTTGCATCACTGGGTGGCTATAACTATAGAACAATTCAAAACCAAGAAAGACTGAAAAGTTGTTTTGTCTTAGTGAGGTATCCTTGGCAATGCTTATCCACAACTAACAGAGACAAATAAAAACCAGGATCTCCAAGTTTCACAGTAAACCATTTACCATCAGAACATTGAGTTATAATATAAATATCTGAATTTCTAACTTGAATCCTGTAGTAGAATTCTAAAACTATCAATGGCTTCCCAGTGGCGAGACTCTAATTTATGGACGACCTTTGAATGACTCTTAAATGACCTTGAGAAAAATTAGCCAACCAGCAAACAGTCAGTGTATAGTAAAAATATGTTATACAAAACCAAGGAAATAAAGTGGATACACTTGTTATACGTGGTTCAAAAACTTGTCAGGGTTAGAAAGAGGTTCAGACGTTCGGAAATCGTAATGCATGTAGTAGAGGAAATCATCCATATGGCTACAGAATAGTCGGCCTCTGGAGTTATGATAAAGTTTCAAATACTCTTTCAGCCTCGACCACGTACATAGCTTCAATATTGTTTAAGTGCACTCCGGTTGTTGAGTGCACAAAATGCTACTTGTGGATAACGACACGATACACATAACCAAACCTATGTAAGAGTCTGTACGCTCTCCAAACATCCGTATATATTGTAGTACCTGGCTGCAGTCAGTGTGGCTGGTGCTTTTATTATCCAGTTCGCAATAATTGTCATAATTTGTCTTAGTTAGAAATTATATATAGGGTTTTCATCACGAACTGACATCAGCTATAATGCCAGAAATTTATTTAGCCAAATGGATGAAAGGCTTTCGTGTTAAAATCCGAGATCTATTATCTCATACCAGATTGATTCGTCCACAAATTATAGTCCCGCCGTTTTATTTGTTATAGCCTCTCAATTATCACGTTTTGTACAAAATTCCCTGTGAACCCATCGTACATTAGCATTAAGCATTGAAGTTGGCGCTGTAACCTTGAAATCTCTAAAACGCTTCTGATTGGCTCGTCCATAAATTAGAGTCTATTTGACTAATTTTATAAGCTTAGTGAAAAGATTCAGTATCTTACTTTATTCTTATAATATAATAATACATACCCTTAAATATACTTTAGCCATAATCATTTCTAATTCAAATACCATTAATAGAATACCCATTACAGCAAAAAATAATGAATAATCAGCTAATTTTCTACGTCTCTCATTGAATATTTTACGCCAATGTAAACGCCAACCAATTCCACGATTTGATGTTTTATAATTCATTGTTGGTTGAACTGAACCAAGTGGACCACTAGTACCATATAATGAACGTAAATCTTCTGCATTACGACGTATTTTAGCACGTATACCAATTGGTCTATTTGTTTCATCATTATTATTATTATTATTATTATTATTATTCGTTTCAAATATATCATTGATCTCATGTAATTGTTCAGATTGTAATGAAGATTTTTGACTATGGATCATTCGTTGTGATTCATTATCGATTAGTTTACGTAATTCTTCACTTTGCTGTAGTTGTTGTTGTTGTTGTTGTTGTTGTTGTTGACGATACTGTGTTGATTGTTCAATAGAATGTGATTCATGTAGATGATCATCTTTTCTATTGAATTGTTCTAATTGATCTAATTCACAGATTGGATCTATTGAATTATATGAATGATTATCATTCTCTTCATTTGTATTCAATATTGGTGAGATAGCAATTTTTGCTGTATTTCTAATAATTGCTTGTTTAATACTATGAGGTATTAAATGATGATCAGTTTTGTTACTATTACTACTACTATTATTATTTTGAGTAGTAGTATTAGCGATAGTAGGTATATTACTTCCATCATGATTAGGTCGATAAGTACTATTACTGTGAACAAGATTATCAGTTTCATGAATTGAATAATGGGCTTTCTGTCGATGAGTAACGTTTTGATGATGGGTAAAACTGGTTACTAAAACAAAACAAAAAAAACACACACACACACACAACAAAAACAAAACAAATAGGAATGATTTAAATCGCTAGCAAATAATAAAAGAAAGAAAATTCGGCAAAATTAATGTCGATCTAACTTGTACCAGTCGAATTACACTTGACGGAGAAGCTTTGCAGGATGTAAAAACCTTTACATATTTGGGCAGCATCATTGATGAACATGGTGGGTCTGATGCAGATGTGAAAGCGTGGATCGGTAAAGCAAGACCAGCATATTTACAATTAAAGAACATCTGGAACTAAAAGCAACTGTCAACCAACACCAAGATCAGGATTTTCAATACAAATGTTAAAACAGTTCTACTGTATGGGGCGGAAACTTCCAGAACTACGAAAGCCATCATCCAGAAAATACAGGTGTTTATTAACAGTTTTTTATGCAAAATACTTCGGATCCGTTGGCCAGATACTATCAGCAACAACCTACTATAGGAGAGAACAAACTAGATCCCAGAGGAGGAAAAAATCAGGAGAAAGTGCTAGAAGTGGATAGGATACACATTGAGGAAATCACCGAACTGCGTCACAAGACAAGCCCTCACATGGAATCCTCAAGGTCAAACGAGAAAAAGATGTTAAAAGAACACATTACTTCAAGGAATAAAGATAGATATGAGCCAAATGCACAACAATTGGATGGAACTAGAAAGAAGACCCAGGACAAAGTGTGTTGGCGAATGGTGGTTGGCTCCATTGGCAGTAACCGGCCTAAGTATCTAAGACTCGTACTCGGTTACCGTTAGGTTATCTAGTTCTAGGTTTAAGAATAATAAGTATGTTCACACAAATTATATTGATCAATTAATTAATTTAGTGTAATTTTATTATCGATTAAATCAATCAGAATCAAGTTAGAGATTTAGTTTTTTTATGGCGAAAATTTAAAACCAGCACTATCTGGGGCGAGAATATAATTTATGAGCGAACCAATCAGAGTTACGATAACAAGCCTTGAATTTTGGCGCGAAACTAATTCATTCATTTCGTTAAAGAGTTTTGGCATTACAGCTTATTTCAGTTCGTAATTCCTAACCTTCAATAAGCTATTGATTTCATGACTATTTATTTTGGAGTAATAAATAGTCATCAACACTTTCACGGCCATTTCCAGACTTCCTTAATACAAATCCATTGTTTATAATTTCATAGTTCTATTGATGAATTCTTTTAGGACAACAAATGATAGATCAAGTAAAGTTGAGATCATTTATTTTCTACTCTAATTGAAGGTTCTGAATCTGAGTTTCACGTACAGGATCGTGAATACCCACTGTTGGGGAGTCCCATACTAGAACGAAATGGCCGTTCAGTGATTACAGATTTTCATTGGTAGTCTAACATTGATCCATTTATGATATATCAACAAATGAATATCATGAGGGAAATAGTTGAGTATTTTCTTTCTATTGAAGTTAATTATCGTCATAAATTAATATCAACCTGGATGAAACATTCGTTCAGTTCTCTTTGATTTCGAATAGTTACCTAATCGGTGCTTATCTATTTTATTTATTTATGTATTTAAACACATAAACATTGGTACAATGAGGAAGCAAATAGATATGCGCCACATAAACCATTCGAATTCTGTGAGGGGTGGGATACTGCACGAGTGCCCAAACTGAAGCAGGGAGCCACATTCGGAGCCTTTGACCTAGAGGTATAGTCCACAAGGCAATCCCATGCTAGCCTGTGACCAACAATTGGTTCATACACCATTTGTTTTGTCAAGATCCTGGAGCCCATGTACACCATTGGTTTGGAATGAGGGTTTTCCAAATCTCCTGGGTGAACTCTCCGTGTCCACCAACACTGTTTAGATTCCGAACATTAACTTTTCGTCCTCTTAATTTCGTATACAACACTCGTATTGCGAGAAGTCAGTGAGTACGGCTTCCCTGATAGTGGTTGTATGCACGTAGTCATGTGAGAGCATTTGTATAGGAAGAGCTGATTCTCCTCACTCTTGGCCGTATCAGGGCATTTAAGAGCTGGTGGAAGTACCGGGTTATGTATTTATAGACATATTAATAATCAACAGCTTCATACTATTAGTAGTTATCAGGAAAATAGTAGTATATATATGTATATATAAAGAGTATCTTGTTAAACTTACTCAAATTCCTTTTTGATGGAGTAAAAATTGATGTACTAAGCTCACGTAATGTAGATAATGTCATTCTATTCTTTTTACTACTATTAGTAGTATAATCATTGGATTTAAAATTTTCAGGATTCATTATAGATGATTTACTATGATTATTATTATTAGTAGTATGATTATATTGTCGTAATTTCACTTGTACTCTATCTGATGTTTCTCTACTTAATGTATGTTTATCATATGGAGATTTTTTTGGTTTATGCGTACCTGATGCCCATGCTAATGCTAATGCACCAATATGAGCTTCACGTTCTAATAAATTATCGGATTTCATTTCATCTTCTTTTTCAAATGATGATTTTAAATTATCACTTAATCTATATTCATTTAAATGAGTATCATACTCATAGAGATTACTAGTACTATTACCATTACCATTACTATTACTATTACCAAGTATAGAATTCTTATCATTCTTATCTACATAGTCTATAGTATGAGAATTGACTTGTTCATCTTGTTTCATTGTATCACTATAATGTCTTGGATATAAACAATGAATAGTTGATTTACGACGTATAATTATAGTATTATCTGGAATAATACTATTCTCATTTGAATGATGTTGTTGTTGATGATGTTGTTGATGATGATGATGATGATGCATTAAAGAGGATTCCATTCGATCATGATATTTATATCGATTAGTAATATGCTCTGTAGCAGTTCGTTTTAACTTGTATAAAGGTTTACGCATCATCTCTGTTGTATCATTATGATTACTAATACTACTATTACTATTGTTATTATTATTAGTAGTAGCAGTAGTAGCAGTAGTAGTAGTCGTAGTGGTATTCGGGTCAGTATATTTCTGTTTAAGAAATTTTGTTCGTCTAAATTGATTATTTGATAAAATTGATGATCTTGATTGTTTTCTTACTTCAAATCTACGTATTTCATGATCGAATAAATCAGTTCTATGCATTATTACATGATTATTATTATTATTATTATTATTATCTAGTTGTAAATGACAATGTTCTTCATTAGGATCATTGATACTAGAACTATTATCGATTAATGTATTGTTTATTGATTTGAATGGACAATTAAATTGTTCTTTGGATGTTTGTAAATCATCAATTTGAATTTGTTGATTAGATGGAATATTCATTGTAGTACTAATAGTAGTACTAGTTGTCGTCGTAGAAGAAGAAGAGTTTGGTTGTGCCTCAATAGGTTTCAATGAATGTGGAGATACTTTAATGATTTGATGATACTGATTATTATTATTATTATTAGTAGTAGTAGTAATCTTAAAGTTATTATGATTGGTGCCAATATCTTCAAAACTTGAAAGAACCGATTTCCAACTTCCACTTGTGGAATGTTTAAAATCATCTAAATTTTCTAGAAATTTTGTAGAACCAACTGATTGAAACATTTCAAAACTATCAGTTTCTGTACTTGGTTGATGATGTAACAAATATGAATAACGTTTAAATCCTCTTAAATCATAATCATCAAGTATATTATGTTGAGTTTTATAAATTGAATTGGAACATTCTAGATTAGATTTCATTGATTGTTCTGTTCTTTGTTCTTTTTCTTTTTCATCTTTCTCTTCTTCTTCGTCACCGTCGTCTTCGGGTTCTTTCATTTTTTCATCCATTTTAAATGATTATAAAATTGAATATAGATTAGTTCTTGAAAGAAGATAATCATTTGTAAGTTTATGATACAATCAATTGGTTGATTCTAAAGGAATGAAGAAAGAAATACATTAATTTACAAAGTATAGATGTATTAGATAGTGGAATGTAGTTAATAACCCTACCATCAGCCCCTCCTTGGATTTATATTACATGATTGTGATATCCGAGCGAAGAATAAATCACCAGTAACTTCTGAGACTTATCAATGGACTAATATCATCTATATATTCTTATGGTATAACATTTCAATAATTAGATTATGTATATCTATATTCCTCTTGTTATAAGCTTCATTTTGATTTATAATTTATTATTGTACGATTCATTGTTCTTAAGCTATGTTCAGTTATATATATAACAGAACACGAAAGGTAGTTAAGTTTAGATGCACTAAATCCATTAATATCTGTCTGTTATTTGTGTAAGAATGAAGATTGCTTTTAACTGATAAACTAATCTGAATGAATACATGTTGTTTATGATTGAGATCATGAACCGATTGATATTAGACCACCATGAAAAGTCTAGAAGCACTGGACGGCCGTTTCGTCCTATTGTGGGACTCCTCAATAGCAGCGCGCATCCATGATTCTGCTGGTGGGATTCGAACTCAGAGCTTTCAGTCTCACGCACAAACTTTTAACCTCTAGACTATTGAGTCTGTTAACACCGTTGGATGCTGGCCAGATCAGTGCTCTAGTGGTTAATTGCTCACTCGCGTGACTGATTGATCGGGATCGTAAATGTGCACTGCTGAAGAGTCCCACAATAGGTCGAAACAGCCATGCAATGGTTCCAGGTTTTCCATGGTGATGTAGCTTCAATTGACTGATGATCTCAACTATTGAAATTATTGTAATATCCACAACCCCCCTTTCTAATACTAATAATTAATTATTTCCCTAACACACTAACATACTAAATCATCATACTTTTCTTGTAAAGAAGCAGGCAAACAAACAAACAAACAAACTTGTATATTCACCTCATTCCTTTTTAAAGTTTTACAATGAAAAGTATGTAATTCAATGAGAAAAACATGACAACTTTTCTTTTCGTTTCTTTTCTTTTCTTTTTCTTTTATTAGTTCTTTCCATTTTCTTTTACATTTCTACTATGAAATGATTTGATGTCTTAGTTACAAAAAATGTATATTATGTCATAAATATTCTTATAATTCAATAATGAACTAAACTAAATCAAGGTCATTTTGAAACTATGACTATAATTACATAATGAAATTTTACATTGAACATAGTTAACAAGCAAAAAAATCAAACAAGATAAACAACATCAGCAGCAACAACAACAACAGTAGTAATCATAAACCGAGTCAACATCCTCAAAGTGAATTGAACACTTACAGTAAAGGAGAGAGAAAGAGTGAGATACACATACACACACACACACACGCACACAGGGAGAGGGTGGGAGGGGGAGAAAGAGGAAATTAACCCACAACAACAACAAAAAAAGAAAAATAATAAAGAGTCTATGTAACTAAGTAAAGTGAAATGATATTTTTCAACAACAAAAATAACGGAGTTTTTTACTTAAAACTATTTAAAATAGAATAAACCTTTAGTTCATGTTAAATGTGAAGATTCATTGTCTGTGAATCAAAAACAAAAAGAGAGAAGAATCTAGATATTTTGTTACTATCCTAGATACAAAAGAAAATATCATGAAATTACTCCTCGTTGTTCTTTTTTTTTCTTTTTTTTTGATGGAAAACTAATGATAGTTCTTATTTAATCTTATTAAAGTACAGTACAATTTTTAAGGAAAAACTATAGCGAGACTATAGTTTGTGGATAAACCAATCAGGTATAAGATAACAGGTCTAGGATTTTTGGCGCGAAATTTATTCATCTATTTGGTTAAATTGAGTTTTGGCATTATAACTGATGTCATTTTGTGATAAAAACCCTAAGTATAATTCCGAACCCTTAACCGGAGTATAACAGAAGCTATTCGTTGTTGTCCAATTTTCGTCCAATGTGTTTCACTGATCCAAGCACCTCCAGGTTGTATCTCCTTATTTCTGTAGCAATTTGGAAGACTCACTCGTTCTCCCACAATGTACGAGTATTTCATGTACCTAAATAAATGGTTGCTCTGGTTGTCAGAAGGGGTATCGGCCTCGTAACTTTCGAAGGAACTCGGATTTCATCATGAGGTGTCATAATTCTTCTAAATGAAGACCTTCTGACTCCCAGGGCAGAGTTTAAAAGGTTTGAATAATCCTTTCTGGTTAGCGTTTTTTGGTGAGTTAGTTTTCTACGGGATGGGGTCGCTAACCCCATGCCTAACGCTCCTTAATCCGGGCTTGGGACTGGCAGTAGCCTCCGGAGGGACTCAAGGTGGAGTTGAACCCTTGACCATCAACTGTAAATCATAATTTTAATTCATCACACAGCTTTATAACCCGCATTTGGTCCTGGTTATTAGGTGGACACTCTCAAAGCTAGTCTAACGTCACTCAATGGTCGTCCATAAATTATAGTCTCACCAGTAGAATTTTTATATACTGGGAATAATGAAATCATGTTGGTTAGTTCAATGTTTATTTTTAATCTTATTGGCTTAATAAATGTGTAAACGATACACCAGTTGAAATGGTGGTTGGAGGTATTCAACAGGAAACCCTGGACACTATCTACAACCACCATCTAATTTCAACATAGTACATGCAATGTCAAGTCACTTAGACTAGTGGCCACATTGCAACTTGGTCGATAACATTCGATCTTCACTAAGAAGGACTTGACACACATGATATTGATCATCACCCAGTGATCGATCAATTGTGATACACCAGTTTAAAATATCTAAATATACATAGGGATTATTATTATTATTATTGTGGAGATCAGTTTAGCATAAAAGTGATATTCATTATTAATTAACCCTGTGGTTTGTACTACTTATATTGATATAAGTAGAATATAACGATAGTCAGGAGTAGAATGTCCGGCAGCAGAAGATCGAGAAGGAAAGAATGAGAACGGAAAGCAATTGGTATGTAAATGAATGAACAATGAAGTTTGAGACGATTGATTGACATTTTACAAATGAAGTACTTACTGTATGATTCTCAGATTTTACTAAGAGATTCTGTAATTTTGGTGTCCAGGTACATTCAATCGTCCCCACTTGTGTCCTTGTTCACTACAACCTTACTTACGGTGCTGAAGTGAACGAGAACAAAAGTGGGGACAATCAAATGTATTTGAACACGAAATTATTGAATATCTTAGTAAAATCTGAGAACCATACATTAAATACTTCATTATTAAAATGTCAATTAATTGTCTCACACTTTGTTGTTTCTTCGTTTCTACAACAATAACACTCTGTTCTCGTTTTCTTTTCTTCGATCTTCTTAACCTTCTTCCGCCAGATATTTCACGTTCTATTGATGATACATATCATTTATATCTTTCGACATCAGTAGCAGACACTACAGTACTATTTGAAAACGGGAAGCATTGGATAGCTGTTTTGTTCTAATATGGGACTCTATATAATTGACTCTTTGAAAGTTTTAGAGATTTTCATGGGTGAATTCAGTAGCAATTAATTGAATGATCATTTATCCAGGTGTGAATTTTAGGTGCTGTATGTTTCAATCCTACAGGGAACATCAGTTCTGTCGTTGATGCAAATATGCCTGTGGTGTAAACAACTTATGTCGACATACATAAGTAGTATGTAACACCAATCGGAAGTGAAAAGCTTGGCAGCAGAAGGCTAAGAAGATCGAGTTGAAGAGAATCGAAAGAAAAATAGAAAAGAATCGTGCACTCAAAGAACATTACAGAATATGATGGACAATCGATGAAAATCAAAATGGATGGTGTCTAGCAGTGGAATTCAAGACTCATCTTTCGTCCTATTCGGGACTTGTCAGCTTATATAACATGTAACATAAGGCAATATCAAGGCGATCAGCACAGGACCCACATATGCTGTTAAAAGACTGATCAATTACAATCGTAAACAACAATGGAAAAATCCAAGCAAACAATACAAAGTTTACCCCAGTGCACAGGATACTGGCTATCAGGACTCAGTATCTGAATGGGTAATGCAATGAGGTTTCAAGCGAATGGTACTGGGTTCGAGTCCCAGATTGTACATCAACTCTGGAAGGCCAGCACATCCAGCCACCGAGGCCTGAATAGGACGAAACGCGTGTCCTGGACTCTACTGCTAGCCACTACCCATCTGTGATTATATATTTACACATTTTTTTAAAAGTTTGTCCAGAAATATGCGTATGGAAAATAGATTGTAATTTCAAATAATTATTTCTTACTATTTCTCAAACTAATACATAATAAGCTACGTATAAGCTAGATCACCATTAGAAATATGAAAGCACTGGACAGTCATTACGTCCTACTATGGAACTCGTCAACAATACGCATCCATGATCCCTCACATGGAATTCAAACTTAAGACCTTCTGTCTTGTGTTTAACTTTCAGACCACTGAACCAACATCCATTGGTGTTAATGTCACATACTAGAACGAAACGGTCATTCAGTGCTTCCAGGTTTCCAATGGTGGTTCAATTTAGAATGAGTCATGAATTCAACTTTGAATCATTAATTATTTTGCTAAATGATACAACACCTATTTCATTCTCATAGATTTCTACATTCAATCTCTGATAATCAAGTAACACTAATCTATTTCATGATAGATTATTACATGTGAGATGATTGTATGAACTTAATGTAATGATATTGTCGAAAAGAGACGTCTTTATGCCTTTTATCATATCGATGGCTTTCCTAAAATTCGAAGAGAACTCATTTCCTACACGTGCCTGCTTACAATATGATGTGATATTGAACACACCACCCTCTGATGATCCAGTAAGCATGTTACTTAGACGGTATGTATCAAGTAACTGATGTACCGAGACAATAAGTTATGAACGAATCAATCACATTTAAGATAAAAGGTCTCCGGTATTGTCAGGAAATCTACTCATCCATTTGATCAAATAGCGTCTTGACACTTTAGCAGATA